CTCCAGAAAGGTTGGATCAGTTCACAACTCCACCAACAATGCATTAGTGTTCCAATTTTCCCACATCTTCTCCAACATTTATTATTGTCCTGTTTCGTCATGTTAGCCAATCTGATAGGTGTGATGTGGTACCTCAGAGTTGTTTTGATTTGCATTTCTGTAATCAATAGTGATTTAGAGCATTTTTTCATATGACTATAGATAGCTTTAATTTCTTTATCTGAAAGCTTCCTATTCATATCCTTTGACCATTTATCAATCGGGGAATGACTTGTATTCTTACAAATTTGACTCAGTTCTCTAAATATTTTAGAAATGAGGTCTTTATCAGAGACACTGGCTGTAAAAAGAACAGATTCTTGCTGAAAACTATGGAGACATAATCTTTATATATAGACATAGTGCACATTTTAGTTTTTCTAGTGTATGTGAGAGCCAATATGGTTTTAAGCCTGTACCAAGAATTAGATAGTCTTAGGCTGGAAAATCAGATGCTATTAACGTATACTTCCCCAACAAGGGTATTCCGAATGTACCACCCAAAATCTAAGTGGTCATAGGGAAATGAGAACAATTTCCCTAGAGATTTCAAAATGAGTGCAACTATACATTTTTATCCTGCAATTGGTCAAATTTTATGCTGATTCCATTTCCATTAAATGGGGTTCTAGATACTGTGGATATGGATGTTAGGGAAAAGAAGAACAAGGAGCTAAGCTTGCTGCTACCATAGGAAAAGAAAGCTTCAGAAGAAATGTCCAGGTGTTTATACTTTACTCCCACTTCATTGTTTCAGATCTCTTTGTTTCTGTTGGATTCAATCACTTTTAAAAAGAAAAAGCAATCAGTTGTGCTGCAATCAATTGATAATCATTTATAAAACAATTACACGTGCCAGGGACTGAGCTAATTTCTAGAGATACAAAGAAAGGCAAAAACAGTCCCTATTGAAAGTAGAAAGCTGGGAAACAATCTTCATAGCAAGTGTCTCTGATAGGCCTCATTTCTCAACTGTATAGAGACCTGAGTCAAATTTACAAGAAGATAAGCCATTTTCCAATTGGTAAATGGTCAAAGGGTATGAATAGGCAGTTTTCAGATGAAGAAATCAAAGCTATCTATAGGCATATGAAGTACTCCAAATCACTTTTGATTAGTGAAATGCAAATTAAAGCAACTCTGAGATACCACCTCACACCTATCAGATTGGCTAATATGACAAAAAATGAAAATGATAAATGTTAGAGAGGATGTGGGAAAATTGGGACACTAATGCACTGTTGGTGGAGTTGTGAACAAATCCAACCATTCTGAAGAGTAATTTGGAACTATGCCCAAAGGGCAACCAAATCGTGCATAGTCTTAGGTCTGTATCCCAAAGAGATCATAAAAAGGGAAAAAAACCTACATGTACAAAAATATTTGTAGCAGCCCTTTTTGTGGTGGCAAAGTATTGGAAATTGAGGGGATGCCCATTAATTGGTGAATGACTGAACAAGCTGTGGTATATGAATGTAATGGAATAGTATTGCACAATAAGAAATGATGAACAGGCAGATTTCTAGAAAAACCTGGAAGGACTTGTACAAACTGATGGAAAATGAAATGAGCAGAACCAGGAAAACATTGTATACGGTATCAGCAACATTGTATGATGACCAACTATGAAGGACTCAGCTATTCTCAACAATACAATGATCCAAGACCTCATGAAGGAACGTGCTATCCATATCCAAATAAAGAACTGATGGACTCTGAATATAGATCAAAACATACTTTTTTCACTTAATTTATTCTTTTTCATGTTTTTTTCCCCTTTTGACCTATTTTTCTTTTGCAACTGTGACTGATATGTTTTCACCATAGCACATATATAACCTATATCAAATTGCCTACCATTTTTGGAAGAGTGAAGGGTAGGAAGAGTGTGAGAAAAATTTGGAACTCAAAATCTTTAAAAATAAATGCTAAAAATTGTCTTGACGTGTAATTGGAAAAAAAATACAATTGGAGAAAAACAGTCCCTACCTTCAAGTAGAGGAAAGTTTCCCCCCCTCCACAATCATTCAGTCTACAATCATTTTTTAATGTACCTATAATGTGCCAGGAACTGTGATAAGAACAAGGAAAGGCAAAAGCAAACAAAAAACCCCAAACAAAAAAAAGATAAGAAAGGAAAAAGAAAGTTCTTCAAAACTAAATAACATCACAAAAAACTGATGTTTTATGCAGTATACCACACCTGTATCTGCAGAGGAGTCTTCTCATATTTAGGGGTGGGGCAAATTTGATCCTTATAACTTTTTTTTTGGATCCTTATAACTTTAATGCATTTTTAATTTGTTTTGTTATTGTTCTTCCCATTTATATTTTTCTATTTTGTTGTTGTCCAGTCATTCAGTTGTGTCTGACTCTTTGTGACCTCTTGGACCATAGAACTCCAGGCCCTTGCTTCACCGTCTCTCAAAGTCTATTCAAACTCATGTTCATTGTTTCCATGATACTATCTAACCATCTCATCCTCTGCCGTACCCTTTTCCGTTTGCCTTCAATCTTTCCCAACATCAAGGTCTTTTCCAAAGAGTCTTGTCTTCTTGTTAGGTGGCCAAAGTATTTAAGCTTCAGCTTCAGTATGTGACCTTCCAGTGAATAGCCTGATTTAATTTCTTTATCTATTAACTGATTTGATCTCTTTGCTATCCAAGGATCCCTCCCCAAAATCTTATCTAGTACCACAATCGAAAGCATCGATTCTGCAACACTTAGCTTTCTTTATTGTCCCAACTCTCATAGCCATATGTTGCTACTGGAAAAAACACAGCTTTGACTATATGGATTATGTTGCCTTGTCAGCAAGGCATTGTCTTTGTTTAGTATGCCGTCCCGATTTGCCACAGCTTTCCTTCCAAGGAGCAAGCATCTTTCAATTTTCATGGTTGCAGTTGCCATCTGCAGTGATCTTTGAGTTCAAGAATATAAAATCTGACGCTGCTTCCATTTCTTCTCCCTGTATTTGCCAGGAAGTGATGGGACCAGTTGCCAAGATCTTAGTTTTTTTTCATGTTAATCTTCAAGTGAACTTTTACACTCTCTCTTTCACCCTCATGAAGAAGCTTGTTAATTCCTCTTCACTTTCTGCCATTAGAGTGGTATCATCTGCATATCTGAGATTGTTGATATTTCTCCCAGCAACCTTAATTCTGGCTTTTGATTCAACCAGCCTGGCATTTTGTATGATGTATTCTGTATATAAGTTAAATAAAAATGGTAATAATATACAGCCTTGTTGTACTCCTTTTCTAATCTTAAACCAGTCAGTTGTTCCATATTTGGATCTAACTATTGCTTCTTGAACCACATACAGGTTCCTCAGGAGACAGGTAAGATGGTCATTTCTTTGAGGATGTGCCACATTTTGTTGTGATCCACACAGTCAAAAGCTTTATTATAGTCAATGAAGCATAAGTAGATGTTTTTCTGGAACTTTCTTGCTTTCTCCATAATCCAGCAAATGGAGTTCCTCTGCCTCTTCAAAAACCAGCCTGCTCTTCTGGTAATTCTTGGTTTAGATATTGCTGAAGCCTAGATTGCAGAAACTTAAGCATAACCTTGCCAGCTTGTGAAATGAGTGTAGTTATTTGGTAATTTGAGCATTCCTTGGCATTGCCCTTCTTTAAGATTGGGATATAAAACTATCTTTTCCAGTGCAATGGCCACTATTGTGTTTAACAAATTTGCTGGCATATTGAGCGCAGCATTTTTAACAGTGTCCCCATTGTATATATTATATTCCCGGTTCTGTTTATTTTGTATCAGTTCATACGTCTTCTCATGTTTTTCTCTATTCATAATATTTATTGATTCTTAAGGAACATAGTAACATTACATTTCATTCACGTACCTCAGTGTGTTTAGACATTCCACATTTAATGGGCAATTACTCTCTTTTTATGTCTTTGTTACCCTGAAAAAGTCTGCTACAAATACTTTGATACAGGGGGGAGCTTTCTATCAGTAACCTCCTTTTGAGGTTTATCATCCAGCTATAAAATTTCTGTGTCAAAGAGAATTGGCATTTTAATCACTTTATTTACATAATTCCAAATTTATTTTTTATAATTGTTGTACCAATTGGCAGCTCTATCAACAACGCATTATTGTTCCTATCTTTCCAAAACCTCTCTGATACCAGTGATTGTCATCTTTTGTCATCATTGCCAATTTGCTGGGTGGCAGGTGGAACCTCAGGATTTTAACTCATTCATATTTCTCTTATTATTTAGTGATTTGGAGCATTCTTTCACATAATTGATAATTCTTTGAGAAATGGTTTATTCATATCTGTCGATTATTGGAGAATGGCTTTCGGTCTTATACATTTATTTTAGTTGTCTACATATCATGGATAGACTTTTATCAGACACATTTGATATAAAGATTTTTCCTTTATAATTCATCAAATCAAAATTACCTGTTATGAAATATTAATGAAGTCAACAGCTAAAATGTCCCAAAAGTTGTATCTATGTTGTGATTTTGTATTTTATATTCTCAGCCTGGAGAAAAAAAAAGTAAGCCCAATATATATGATTTCTTCAGTCTTAAATGACATACCAAGTATGGAAAATTTTTTTATCCAAAGTCTCTTGACCCATAATTTAAAAAAAATAAGGTTGTATAAATAAAAAGTCAGCTAATTGAATGTTTAAGTTTATGCTGCCCATTTTTTCCTTACATTTTGAGGGTACCAGTGGAATATTCTGATTGTCTACCTGTCATCTCTCACTACATGACCAGCTCATGTTCTCTTTCTATCATAAAATTTCCTGATGACTTCTTTTATACTCTTGTTCTTCCAAATTTCTCATCGTTTATATATTTCATCCTGTTCATACCTACCATGTATCTCTCCATTGTCTGCTATGTGATATTAATGTTTAGTTCTTCAGAGACTGTTATATTCCATGACTCAATGTTATTCATTCTCTTTTCATTTTTAGTATCACAAGACTCAGCATAGTGAAGAATATGAGGCTGAAGGTAAGAACAGAATATTTATTTTGACCAGAACTTTGTGCAAATGAGTTTATAGGAATAACCAAAAACACAACAAAACAAAATTTTGTGCTTGTGTGCTTGTAGGACTAAAGGTGTGAGTTCATTTGTACCCCATGAAGGAGGTTGGATCCAACTGTTTAGATTGGATATGTTTGCCTCCCTTTATAAAGGATGTTCTATGGTTTTTACAAATGATCAATCAGGTCAGTTAGTTGTGTGAGTATCTTGCTCTGAAAGGAAGTAGGATTGTTGGAACTAAACATGTTTTAATATGAAGGTTTTTTTTTACAGATAATTGGGGTTAAGTGAGTTGCCCAAGGTCACACAGCTAGTAAATGTCAAGTGTTTAGCCTGAGGCTGGATTTGAACTCAGGTCTTCCTGACTTCAGGGCCTGTGCTCTATCCACTGCGCTACCCAGCTGCCCCATTTAACATGAAGTTTTAAAATAATCGAACACAAAGTATGCCTAAATTTTGTATCAGCAGTATTCCTGGTTTCCAGTTAAATGCTTTCCCAAATATACTGTGAAGCCTTATCAATGAGTTAAATTTTTTGATATAACTGAGTTATAAGTACCAATAGGATGTCCAATGAACTTATCCCCTAGACACCTAGAAATTGAGGGCTAGACCTGAAGCTGTAGATTTAGGAGTCATATGCAAAGGAAGAAGAATTGAAGTTGTGGTAGTTTATGTACTAGAGATAAAATTTGAAACGTCTACATTCATGCCAAATCTACCCTTCCTCTTAACCCCCTTCTTTCTGTCAAGGAGATGTGATAATTAAAAAGTTCCAAGAGACCAAGTTTCTGGGTAAATTAAAATCAGTTTTAGTGACTACATCTAGAAAGCAATCAACAAGATAGGCTCATTGTCCCCTTGGTAGCCAAGGAACCTCATGGCTACTTCTTTAGGTTTTTATGCCTTTAGACAAGAGGTGGTCCATCAAACAGAAATCATTTCTAGTTGGTTAATGTGGTGGGAGGCAGGCTATATTAAAATAAAGGTCTTACAACAGTCAATGACTATAGTAATCTACTATTTGAGAAATCCAAAGATTCCAGCTTCTGGGATAAGAGCTCACTATTTAACAAAACCTCCTGGGAAAATTGGAGAATAGTATGGCAGAAATTAGGCATAGACCAACATCTTAAACCTTATGTCAAGATAAAGTCAAAATGGGTACATGATTTAGATATAAAGACTGATACTCTAAGCAAACTAGGAGAGCAAGGAATAGTTTACCTATCAGATCTATGGAGAAGGGAAGAATTTATGACTAAACAAGAGATAGAGAACAATATAAAATGCAAAATGGATGACTTTGATTACATCAAATTGAAAAGTTTTTGCACAAACAAAGCCAATACAATCAAGATTAGAAGGGAAGCAGAAAACTGGGAAACAATTTTTACAACCAGTGTCTCTGATAAGGGTCTCATTTCTAAAATATATAGAAAACTTAGTTAAATTTGTAAGAATACAAATCATTCCCCAATTGATAAATGGTCAAAGGATATGAATAGGCAGTTTTTAGAAGAAGAAATTAGAGCTACTATAGTCATATGAAAAAATGTTCTAAATCGCTATTGATTAGAGAAATGCAAATCAAAACAACTCTGAGGTACCACATCACACCTAATCAGGTTGGCTAACATGACAAAGGAGGACAATGATAAATGTTGGAGAAGATGTGGGAAAATTGGAACACTAATGCATTGTTGGTGGAGTTGTGAACTGATCAAACCGTTCTGGAGAGCAATTTGGAACTATGCCCAAAGGGCTATAAAATTGTGCATACTCTTTGGCCCAGCAATACCACTTCTACATCTGTATCCCAGAGATCATAAAAACAGGAAAAAGACCCATGTGCAAAAAAGTTTATAGTGGCCAAGAACCGGAAATTGAGGGGATGCCCACAATTGCGGGAATGGCTGAACAAGCTGTGGTATATGAATGGAATGGCATACAATTGTGCTATAAGAAATGATGAACAGACAGACATCAGAAAAACCAGGAAAGACGTATATGAACTGATGCTGACTGAAATGAGCAGAAACAGGAGAATATTATACGTAGTAACAGCCACATTGTGTGATGACTGACTTTGATAGACTTAGCTCTTCCTAGCAATGTAAGAATCTGAGACAACTCCAAACATCTCATGATGAAAATGCTATCCACATACAGAAAAAGAACCATGGAGTCTGAGTGCAGATGGAAGTATACTCTTTGCTTTCCTTTTCTTTTGTTGTTTTGTTTTATTTCTTCTTTCTTGTGGTTCCTCCCATTAGTTCTAATTGTTCTTCACATCATGACTAATGTGAAAATATGCTTAATATGAATGTATAAGTAGAGCCTATATCAGATTACATACCATCTTGGGGAGGGGCGAGGGGAGAGAGGGGGAGAAAATTTAAAACTCAAAATTTATGGAAGTGAATGTTGAAAACTATAAATAAATTATTTAAATTAAAAAAAAGGTTTTGGGATATGTAACCAGTGTCACCCTAATCTTAGTTAATAGAGACATCAATTTCCATATAAAACAGAAAAAGAGAGAGGGAATGAATACTTCCCCAGAACTGTCTGGAAAAACACAATGAGCACTAATACACCAATTAGCCCAAACTTAGAATTTCTTTTATTGTCTGATTAGATCTTGGCCTGAGGAAATCTCTAAGAGAGAGATTTTCCACACTGATTGATCTCTGGATGAGGAGGTAGAAAAGTGGAAAGACCTTGGTCCTAATACAACAATCAGTTATTAAATATAAGAGAGAAATATTCATTTCTCACAGAGACTAACATTCTTCTAGTCACTCAGATTCACAACCTTTGTGTCATCTCGGACTCTCTACAGTCCTTCATCCCATATATCCATTAAGTTGTCAGATCTTGTTATTTCTGCTTCCATAACTTCTCTTGAATTTAAACAGATGAGGTAATATTTTGCTTACCACTATGCTCAGTACATAGTAGTTGTTTAACAAATGCTTGTTCTGTCCCCTTTTTTTCAATTTATACAACCATCATTCAAGCCATTATCACTTCTTGTTTAAACTATGGCAAGAGTCTCTTAATTAGTCTCTTCCTTTTCCAGTCCATCCTTCACACAGCTGCCAAACTGATCCTAAGGCACTGGCTGTCCTCTCTGGCTGCAATTCACTAACTCTGCATCACTGCCTCTCACATTTCTTAGTTTCTTTTAAGACCCATCTGAGGTGCTGCCTTCTACATAAACGTAACTGTAAAATCCTGCACTTAGATTAAAAAATCAGCCTCACGGTTATAAAATAAAGGAGATGTGACTAGATGATAATTTGGCTGAGAAACAAAAATGGAGCTTTTCATGGTCTGAAAGTTCAACATAGGTCAGCAGCATGATATGGCAGCCAAAAAGTTAGTATCACCTTAGGCATAAGAGTCATAGTGTTTAGAACGAGGAAGGTGATGCTTTACGTTCACATCATATCTAGTATATTGTGTTCACTTCTGGGTGCAACATATTAGAAAGGACAATGAAAACTACTGAGTAGCTGGAGGAGGAAAATGAGGATTATCAAGGCTGTGGCATTGTTGGATTGCTTGAAAGGCCTAGGGATGGAGAAGAGAAGACTTAGGGAAGACCATGATAACCATCTTCAGGTACAATCATGTGGAAAGGAGGATTAGAATTTCTCTACCTGAAGCCAAAAGGCAATAAGTAGAAGTTGCAGAGAAATAGAATTTGCCTCACTGAAAAAACTTGATAGTTAAGAATTAAGCAAATGTGGAGAGGGCTGCCTTGCCCAGTAGTCTTGAAGTGATATTTATTTGGGGACATTGTAGAGAAGGTTCTTGATTAGATACAGGTTGGACCAGATGATCACTAAAGTCCTTTTTAACTCTTTGAAAATATAACTCTTGATGGAAGGAGACATGGAGAAAAGGTGGCACAATAGCTAGTGTGAATGATATGTCAAAAGAAAAAAATTATTTCCATTAATAGAATCTGTAGACTCTTAGAGCTGGATAAAACCTAAAATATCAACTGCCACCCACTTTATAGAAGAGGAAACTAAGACTCAGAATGCAAGTGACTTTCTAAAGGTGATAGGTGACAGAACTGGAACTAGAATTAGTCTCTTCTCATTCCCAGTCCAACAGTGTATGACATAGAGCTTTTCTCAAACGTTGTGAACTAACAGAGCCCCCATGTGATAGGATGTGTCCATTACTGCTTAATTATAAAGAATACCGTTTATCATTTTCAAAAAATTTAATGTTTCTCATTATATAACCATCATTTTAACAAGACAGAAGACAGTGTTCTATAAACCTGTTTATTTATTTATTTACTTTTGGTGAGGCATTGGGGTTAAATGACTTGCCCAGGGTCACACAGCTAGTAAGTGTTACGTGTCTGAGGCAGGATTTGAACTCGGGTCCTCCTGAATCCAGGGCCGGTGCTCTATCCACTGTGCCACCTTGCTGCCCCCTAAACGTGTTTATCTATTGAGATGTAACACCTTAAATTTGGAACATAAGACAACTTTTGATTAAAGCTTAGAATAAGTTAAACATCAGTTGCCAACTAGATAACAGGGTAATTCAATAGTAGGGACCCATTTACAACCCACTTTGTAACTTGTCCTTGGTTAACCAGTAAATTTAAATAAACTGTTCTCCTTTGCTGGGTTTCCAAACCAGAAACAGCAGCACTAGTATGCCTTCCCAGCAGTAAATATTAGGGAAGAAGTTAACTGTACTACTCTTGATACTCTAAGGTTCATTTGGAGAGAAATGATTATCTCTCCTGTATTTAATAACTAAATATTGTATTGAGACCAAGGTTTTTCCCCTTTTCTTCTTTCTCGTCCAGAAATCAACCAGTGTGGGAAATCTTAGGCAAAGACTTACCCAGGCCAAGATCTAATCAAACAGTAAAACAAATTCTAAGTTTGGGCTAATTGGTGCATTCCTGCTCATTGTGTTTGCTCAAACAAGTCTGGGAAAATGTGGATCCTCCTTTTTATTGGACAGGCGATATGGAAATTGATGTCTGTTTGACCAGGATTTGAATGATCCAAGTTACATACCCCAAGACCCTCGTTGTAACATAGCCCAATCTGTCACTGTAATATTCATTTTCTCATCAGTTATTAATTAATCAGAGTTGATTGCCACCTTCGGGAGCACATATCCTTCCAAGAACATATAAACTGTGAGCCCTCTACCATGAGGGGTCTTTGTTCTAAGAGAGACAGCCAAATGACCATCATTTTATTAATAAACATGCAGGCATCATTAATAAAATTATTAAATTTCCCAGAAACTATGTCTCTCGAACTTTTTAAATGTCACCATTTTCAAGGATATACATGAACTGTGCCAGGAATGATCTCTTTTTTCCCCAGGTTTCCTTGAAGTTCCTGAACTTTTGTTCTTCTAAGTGAACTGTGTTAGTTTTTCTAACTCAGTAAGATAATTTTTTAGTAATTTTATTGGGATGGCATTACATAAATAGATTAGTAGATAAAATTGTCATTTTAAAAATCATATTGGCTTTACCTACCCACAAACAATAAATATTTCAATTATTTAGATCTTACTTTATTTGTACTAAAAGTGTTTTATGTTTTATTTGTATAGTTCCTGTGTCTGTTTTGGCAGGTATACTCTTGGTATTTTATACCATCTAGTTATTTAAATGATCTAAAACAATATATAATAATATGGCTGACACATAGTGTAGTTTCCCTATTTTTCTCTTTTGCTTAAGTCTATTTTAGCTTTAACTTTGTCTGAAATCATGATTACTACCCCTGCTTTTTTATATAATAAATTCTAGTCCTGAACATTATTTTATGTTTGTATGTGTATCTCATTTTTATAGCATTTCCTGAAAGCAACATATTGTTGAATTCAATTTTTAATCTGCTATCATTTCCCTTTTTTTTTTTTTGCCTTTTTTTTTTGGGTGAGGCAATGGGGGTTAAGTGACTTGCCCAGGGTCACACAGCTAGTAAGCGTTATGTGTCTGAGTCCAGATTTGAACTCAGGTCCTCCTGACTCCAAGGCCAGAGCTTATCCACTGCACCACCTAGATGCCCCTCAGCTTCTATTTTATGGGCAAATTCATCCCATTTACTTTCTAAGCCATAATTACTTGTTGTATATTTTCTTCCTTGCTATTTTTCCTCACCATCCTTCTCACCCTATTCCTATCCCTCCCTACTCCTCTGCTTCATTTCTACCCACTACGTTGCTCTTCTATTCCTTAACCTACCCACCCCTACAAGAATCCCTCCACTATCCTCTCCCATTCTATCCCCTTGCCCTTCTATTTCTTTCTGAATATATATTATTCATATTATTTATTTATTTATATATTTTAAGATATTTATGTTGTTCCTTCATTAACCCATTCCCAATAAGAGTAAGGTTTCAGCACTACCTCCTCTCCCTCTACTAGCTTCTTCTGTATCAAATTTTCCTTTTTTGGTCTCATTTGTGTGAGATAATTGTTCCTTTTTATCTCTCCCTGCACAGTTTTTTTTTAGCATTACCCCATCATACTCAGCTCAGCCCAAGCCTTTCTTTCAAACTACCCAAATAAAAATGACAGAACATTATAGATAGTGTTTTCATATATAAGAAATAAATGATTTGACTTTATTGGGTCCCTTATAGTCCTTAATGTTTACTTTATATTTTTTCTGGTTGTTATATGTTGAATTTTCACTTAAGTTCTGCTGTTTTTGTCACAAATACCTGAAAGTATTTCAGTTCATAAAATGTTCATTTTTTTTTCATTCACGATTATACTTAATTTTTTCTGGGCAAATTACACTTGGCTGTAACCCAGCTCTTTTGCTCTGTGAAATATAGCATTCCAAGACCTATTGTTCTTCAATGTAATAGCTGTTAGATCTTGTGTAATTCTTATTGTACTTCCATGATATTTAAATTGTTTTTTCCCAGTTGCTCCCAATATTTTGTCCTTAACCTGGAAGCTTTGAAACTTGGCTGTAATATTCCTGTAAGTTTTCCTTCTAGGGTATCTTTCAGGTGGTAACTGGTGGGTTTTTTCTATTTCCATTCTGCGCCAGGAGTAAACTCATGCCAAATGATGAACTTATGGAATGTCTAATATACAGTGGAACCATTAAGTAGGCAGCATGACATTTTAATAGAAGATGAATGTAATATTTTAAATCTTCAAACACGACATATACTTAACTAGGAGTTTAGTGTGGTTTAATTCCTACACATAAGACATGATTTATGTAGGTCACAGCATTTGACTGTTTGAAACTGTTGTAAGTTAGAATTATTTTACTTACACTAGAAGTAGCCCTGATAGTGGCTATCACTGGAACAACAATTTAATAGACATAAATGGTAAGAAAGGATCAATAAAATTTTTGAAATAGTTCTTAACTTGCATCTTATCTACTCTTCTGATACACCAAAGTCAGAGTTCTAATTATTTGTCTGAAGGTATAATACGAGGTTTTAAACTGTTGAATATGCAGATTTCAGGGCTATTTTTATTACTGCTATGGGAAAATTGGTACATTTAAGATTGCAAAAATTGTTCTATGTGCTTTGTGTGGTGTTTTGTTAAATAATTTGTTTCCAAGAAACATGTTATTACTTAGAGGAATGAACCTTCTTGTCCATTCAGCCTTTAATTAGAACAGAAAGCAAATAACCATTTTGTTTCAGGCCAATTAAGATTTTGGAACCCTGATGACTCAAATGCCTCACAAAGAGGATCTTCTCCTACTCAAGACTGGATTGATGACAAACTGCATCAAGTTTGTAAAGACCTGGGGATAAGTCAAGATGGCCATTTGAACAAAAAGAAGCTAATCTCTATCTGTGAACAATATGACTTGAAAAATGTCAACAAGGAGGTAATTATTATATTATGGTTAAATTCAGGAAGTCAGTTTTTGATTTCATGCAGCTTTCTTTTCTTTTTAAGTTTGCCAGTCAGTGAATGTTTTCATAACACAATGGTTTACAACGCTTTCTTCACAACCTATGTGATAGCTACTTCAAGTGTTATTTCCACTTTATAGATGAGGAAAGCAAAACTCAGGGATTTGATGACTTAGCCATGAGTGTACAGAAAGTATTCAGAGATTTGTATTAAGTGCTATGGGAAGATGGTGGAGAGGTAGGTTTGTGGGGATGGTGAAGATACAGGAAAAAGAGGAGGAAAAAAGAAAGAATAAGAACACTGCTCAGAGTTAATGCAATGATAACTGATAATGGAGAAAATACATAAATAATATTTATTTCCATTCTATTTTCTCTGACAAGGAGAATGAGTATCGATTGGAAAGCTGAATGAAAAGATCAATGAAAAGATCTGAAGTCAGAGGACCTGGATTCAGTTAAAATCCAAATTTTACCACTTAGTACTTATGTGACCTTGGGCAAGTCACTTAAACTCTCTGGGCCTCTGTTTCTTCATCTGTAGTGAAGGGGTTGAATTAGATGACTTCTAAATTCCCTTTTAGCTCCAAATCTATGATCCTATGAAAGAACAAAATTTACTAAAAGGGTAGTTGATTACACAAAAAAAGTAAGGACATGTAATGACAGCATTTGTCTTCATGAACTTAAGTCACAGGGTCCAAATAACCTACATCCTAGAATATTAAAATATCTAATTCTGTTTTCCCATATACAACCTTCTGTCTCACACCTCCATAACTTTATATATGGTATTCCCTAAGCAGGTTCCTCCTCATATTTATTTCTTAGCAACTCCAGCTTCCTTCAATGCTAAGCAAAAGGGGCCACCGTGGTCTCCATTTCCTCTATGCTGCTAATGCTATCCTCCTTCTAAAATTAATGTGTACTTTGCATATTTGCTTTATATTACCTTTCTGTATACATATGTCACCCACCAATAGAAAAGTAGCCCTTCACTGAGAGGGATTCTTTCATTTTTGTCTTTATATCACCAGTATCTAAAACTCAGTCCATGTAGTAGGCACTTAATAAATGCTTTTCGAATTGAATTTGAATTCACAAGGTTACTAGACTGGTAGAACATGAAAATACTTTCCAGCCTAAACAGAGATGTTGCCACCACCCTGAGTCACAGCCTGTGCACCTCCAACTGTGTGGTTCTCACAGTGGGATGACAAGAAATAAATAAACTGAACTTGAATAAGATATGGAGGATGTTGAAGAAGTGGAAAAAGAAGAAACTGGTGAAAATACAGACAGCCATCAGCTCACTTTTCAGAACTCTTCAAGAAAGATTCAGCAGTTAAATGGGAACATTGACTTGATACATTGAAAGCTTGCCAAAAATTGATTAAGCAACCCTGTGAATTCCCTCAAATATCTTCAGGTGAAATGTACACAGATAGAAGCCTAATTCTATGAGAAGTTCATGCTCTTAAAAAAGAAGTGTGCTTTTCTTTTACTAGACATTTTTTGATAGGGAGGAGTGAAATCATCCATGCAATTTATGAACCTATAGAGGAAGATTATGAGTTGAAACTATATGATAACAAAGAGGTTTCAGAGGAAATGAAAGAGAAAGCTAAGTTTGAAGAAGGGGGAAAAAAAAGATAAAAAAGAAGACCTTCAAGGAATTCCTGAATTTTGACTGACTTTTTAAAAATGTTGATTTGCTCAGTGATATGGTTCAGCAACATGATGAACCTATTCTGAAGCACTTGAAAGACATTAAAGTGAAGTTCTTGGATAACCTATGATTTTTACATTAGAGTTTCACTTTGAACCCAAAGAATATTTCACAAATGAGGTGCTCATAAAGATATACTATATGCAGTCAAGCCCAGATGATTCAGATCCCCTCTGCTTTGGTGGACACAGATTGTCAGGTAGATTGGAAAAAATGTCACTTTGAAAACTATTAAGAAGAAACAGATACACAAGAGACATGAGACAGTTTGAACAGTGAGGAAAAGTTTTCAATGATTTTTTTCTTTAATTTGTTTTCTCTTCCTGAAGTTCCTGAAAATCGAGACCTGAGTGATGATGTTTGAGCTATCTTTGTTGCAGATTTCAAAATTGGTCACTTTTTACATGAATTTATCATCCCAAGACCAGTATCATATTTCACAAGAGAAGCAATTGAAGATTATAATGAGGATTATGATGAAGGTAAATGGGCTGGTGATGAGAAGGGGAAAAAGAAGCTGATGAGGAAAATGATGCAGAATATGAGCTGAAGAAAGATCCAAATCCAGCCAAATGCAAATAGCAGTGGGCAGTATTTGCTATGGCTTTACGGATTACTGTACTATCCTAGCCTAAACACAACCAGTAGTTACTTATGTTTTGTATTTTCTTGATAGAATCAAGTAAACAATTTTTGTTAAAAGAGGAAAAAATGAATATTTAAGAACCAGTTCCAACTATAGATTCATTCTACCCAGCATTTTAATGTTATAATTTCTGCCAGATATGAAGAATGCAATGCATCCCTTAACGTATATTTATTTCTACAACGTTTGGTTTTTGTGAAGTCTTTTGTCATGTTGCTTATTAGACTACAGCTGCAAAAATTATCCAAACCAGTTGAGACCAATATTGGTTTAGAAAAAAGAAATCCTGAAGAATCAACCAAAATATTTTTTCAACCTATTAGTTGAATCAGTTTAAGTCTGCTTGCCCTAGCTGTGCCTTCATTACTTTGTTAGAGAAATACAGTGACTTGTACTACCCAGGAAACAATGCCTTTTGAAATTTGATTTGATAAGAAGCTAATATACAGTTAAGAATGCGTAGTAAGACCATAACTAATGTTCACAACTGTCTGCTTTTTAAAAATAGATTTTTGTATTTTAATAGTGATTGACAAAGAAACTTAGTTTGTTTACCATTGGGATGTGAATAAAATCTAATATTTTCAGAAATTAGCATCTTCGTATACTTGTGTAACCATGAACATTCAAACTGAAAGCATCTTTACTTAGTGGCATTGTGGGGGACCTTCACTGAAAATGATCATTTGTATTACCTGGAATAAGACCATTTCAAGTTCTTATAGTGCAGTTTTAAAATAAATTACTGAGCAGAGTTTTAGTTCTCACAGGGTAATATCTTAATTTGACACAGTTTGGAAGTCTACCCTGATGGTTGTTGCATTGGTCGTTATTTAGGAGAAGTAACCAGACTTTAAAAAGAAATCTACGATCTACCAAAATTCAAGTGGAATAAACCAGTGGACAAAATTTTAAATCATAATTACCCTTTAACGATCATTATTGTTGAAGTTAAATTTATTATAGTATTATGTTTAAAGCTAGGGAAAGGGTCTATACCTATTCTCATAGCTTAATATGAGTATATTATTTACTCATATGTCTATCTACCCCTATATTTAAATGGGTAATTCTGTTTACTTACATACTATATAAAAGTTTTGAATTTTTGAATTTGGTTATATTATATAATAACTGTTCTTGGTCATTAAAAGGTCAGAAATTTTAACCTTAAAAAAAAGGCATCAAGGGAATCTGTACTTGACACTATCCTGTTTTACTTTTTTTTTTCAATGACAAAATCTTAGGTTAAATACTTAACAAGTTTGAAGATGATGTAAAACTAGAGGAGGAGAATTGTTAACCCAGATGTTAACAGTTATATCCCAAGATGAAGACTTTGACACCTAGAAATTTTTTATTTGTTGTTTCATGGACCCTTTGGCAATCTAGTGAAATCTTTGGACTCCTCAGGGAACAAAATGTTTTTACATATATAAAGCGAGGTACGAGAGATTATGAAGGAAATCAGATATATTGAAATGCAGTTATCAAAATATCCAACAACAATCATAAGCTCATAGACTCTAGTTTAAAAACCCCGGGGCTAGAACACTGAGCTGATTTGAATACAACAAAATGTAACAGGGATAAATTTCAAGTCACATGATCTAGGAGCTTTAGTGTAGTGCAAGCTTATTATGAATCAATAGCATAATCATGTCAGCAAAAATAAATAAATTCTAACATCGTATTGAGGGGAATATCTCAGGCTAGAGAGGTGTTAAGCTCCACTATGACTTTCCCTGGTAAGGCTACTTATAGAGTATGGTGTTCGGTTTTGGACATCACATTTTAAGAAGGATACTGATGAGTTGGAGACAGTCCAGAGAAGGACAACCGTGATGATATGAAGCTTTGATATTGTGCCATTGAAAGAACTGGGGATGTTTGAAGAGAAGAGAAGACTTAGAGACGTTGGGGTAGAAGAGAAACTAGAACTTAGCAGCTCAGTTAGGAGACTGTTGAGATATTCCAGCTGAGAGGTTATGAATGTGGTGGCCTGATTAGTGACAAGATACATGTCTTCAAGTACTTGAAGGCCTGTCATATAGAATTTACTATCATTTCCCTTAAATCGACTTCTTCAAACTTTCATATTTCTGTTGAAGGTACTACCATCTTCTCAGCCACCACCAAAGTTCTAGGCCTCATCTTCCTTCAGCAAGGTAGCACAATGGATATAGCATCAGGAAGTCAGGAGTCAGAAAGACCTGAGTTCTAGCCTCAGACACTTTTTTGCTGTGTGACCCTGGGCATCACTTAACTTCTATCTAATTCAATTTCCTCAGCTGTAAAGTTGGGATAATAATAACACCTACCTCACAGGTTGTTGTGAGGCTCAACTGAGATAATATTTGTGAAGCCCTTAGTACAGTGCTTGGCACATGTAGGTGCTGTAAAAATGCTTATTCCTTTCCTCTCCCCTTCACTTGGTATATTGCAACTGCAGAACCAATTGGCCTCTTGGCTTCTGTTCTTCATTTTCCAATCCCATCTGTCACACAGCTGTCAAAATCTTCCTAAAATAAAAGTTTGATCATGTCACGTTCTTATTCATTCCCCTTCCGTGACTTCTTTAGGGTATTGCATCTAGG